GCCTACCGCCCGTGATGAAAGTTCAACAGGTCAGAGCCCGCGTGCTGTCCAAAAAACTATCCACGCGCAAGAAGACATTTTACCTTAATCGTCGGTGTACGTTTGCAGTAATATCTGCACCCTATAAATACTGCAAACTTCTGTGCATGCATTACCCGTTTCTGCTACTGTTTCTTACTCATGTCTCTGATGAGGAATCCGCGACAGATGTCAAAACGTCAGGCGAATAAACGTATTGTCCTAGCGATCGAGTCTTCTTCTTCTCATAGTTGCGCACGCCGGCAAAAAACAGGCCGATAATTGATTGAAGCTTCAGAACTCAGTCGAGCAATTTATCGATCTAACTCTGGCATACATCACCCTGCGCAGAGATCTCCGGACTGCCGTCACTGGTATTTGATTGTCCCCTCTCCTCTATAGCTTTTGCTAATTTTTTTGATTGACGCTTTTACCTCTAACGATGGACTCCAATTAGAGTTCAAAAGCTCAGAGGAATAAAACCACGATTCCTGTGATCGATCTGCCTTCCTCTTCTCTTCCTATACACACGCCTGAAATGCGAACGTTCGCCTTAATTCATTTTTACCATAAGGTGTCGTTATTTATTTTAATTGAGTAGTGCGAAATTTTGTAGGCTTTTGTACGATTGCAATCGTGGTGCGTCTTATTTTTGTTTGGCAGGAAGAGTTCTTATACTTCCCTCATCGATAAATGAAGCGCTCACAAACCACCTCTAGCAATGCTTAAAATTGCTACGATTGAAAATGTGCATTCTAATTATTTTAGCCTTGATTGTAACAGACGAAAGTATTCAGGGGAAAGGATGACACTGTTACATACCTTGACCATCCGGATAGGCCACAGTGAAGGGGCAGTCGATTGGGCCAAGGCCAGCGGTTGTTATCGCCTCCGAGAGGACCGCCTTCCGTGTGCGGGGAAGGCTGGCCTGGTCAAACGTCATGGAGAGCTTTGGCCAAAACGAGGTCACGGTCATGGGCACGTCGATGTCCTCACCGATCAGGGTCACAGGCACCTCAACGTCTAAACCAAGCGGTAGCGGAGGAAGACATATTCGCGGCGGTTCGCAGCGTAGATTAGGCCCCCTGACAGAGACCGCCAGATTCAATGATCCGAAGGGCACTTCGAATGACCTGGTTTCGTCACACGGCACAGTGTTCCGTTTGTACATGTTTAACGAGATTGGAAATGCAATCTGCAGTTGGCATCTAAATTCTGCCAATGTTCAGAGAAAAAGTTGCAGTAAACTTATACAGTGTTTCTGCTGAGCAAAGTTTATGAAATCCTTTCCAGGGCTATTTTACATTTCAAACTTTAGAGAGAATGAACACTTAAAGTGACGGCCGCGCCAAAATGACGTTACGTCGCATTTATAAGATCCTACCTTTCAAAAGCTTATTCAAAATTGGGTTTCGAGATGCTTCTGGAAGACATGCAATTTGGCAGAACACAAAGACAAGGTGGTTTTAATTTACTTAGAAAGGGATCGCTAACTTAGAGGAAATCAGTTAATGTGCAGCTTTATGGGGTAGATTGAAAGTTGATGCGAATACAGAATATACTCCGGCCTCTATTGGTTGCTATTGGCTGACTGCTGTATGTTTAATAATATTGCGCGGTTAATCCGTTACAGCAGATAGAAGTCGGTCCAGTTACTCCCATCGACTTTTAGTCTCCACCTGTAAAGCTTCAAATAGACGGATTTATTTTAAGATAGTGATTAATTTCTGAGGTAGGTAAAAACAGTAATTTAAAAACAGAAGTATCTACTGGAAAGCATACGGGGAATGCCGATGAACCCACCGATGAGCCAAACTACTTGCAGCTGTGTCAACCAATGTAACAATATCGATGAAACAGGTATCGGAGCTTTTAATTAGCACATGTGCTGACGATACGGTCATCCCGAACATCTAAACTTAAGGCAAGTAGAAAATGTGTATCCAAATGGCTTATCTGCCAGCTCTGGATTGTTTTCCGTCAGAAAACGTTCCTACAGTGTACAAATGAACCTTCTTTTGCGAATTCATTACATGAAATTCTGCGGAAACACTGACTTTAACGGTCTAGGTGGACGAGATACCTTTCCATGATTTCTTCTTCCTATATTTTCGCTCGGTGCTCGAAAAAATACATTTAATGACACCAGAGGAGGTTTTATATTTTTACAGATGAAAGTAGCATACAAAAACAGCTACGCTGTATTAATTATTATTTGATATTTTTGATCTTAAATATAGTTTAAAATATAAATGACATTTTAGATGCTTTTCGCGACACACCTGGAACGTATAAGACACGTGAACTGGGCTGATATTACAGAAGATTTTATTTTTCCTTACGCTGGGAGAAGAAATTGTTGAGAGAAAACGAGGCAAACAGGTGAGCAAGTCTGCCTCATGGTGACATGTATATTGTCTGGGGTCCTGCATTTCGTATCCAATATGTTAACCATATAACTGGACTATTCAATGCCATCCTGGAACTCCTGGTTTTCGATCGTATAATTAATCATTTGTCAGAATAATTTTAACAATGCTGTGGCTACTTTTTCACCTCGAAATGGAAAACGTCGGCAGAAAGGAAATACCCATCGCAGCGAGTTCCGCCAACGCTGTGGAGGAAAACGCTAATTTATCTGGCGGTATACCTGGAACCAGAGTTACTTGAAAGGTTGCAAATTCCTCCTTTTCCTGAAATTTCCCTCGAAATATTCTGTTTTTCTCCGCCGTTTCCTCCTTTACGAAGATCGATGAGTCCGCGACGCGGATCTGTATATTTGGTCTTCTGGAGGCTGGTTTGATAGAAAGCTTCGTGCAGTCCAGCGACCATTCCACAACGTCTGAAGTTGCACTTTGCAGCTTAAATGTCTGTAGAAAAAAATGATAATACCAGTTCTTTACCACCCCGTATTAACACATTATTTTTTCTACCTAATAATAACGAGTAGGCTAAATTAATTAGACTGTGCGCGCGTGCTAACACTCCAATCACAAGTAACCCCAGTTTTTCATGCAGTTCATACAACTAGCCGCCTGCTGGTCCCTATCACCACACACTAACCTATAGTTATATCAGCCATTTCGGTTTCTGACGTACAGTGCCCATACGATTTGGTTCGGCACCCTATCCTGCGAGTTACCCTTATTGTACGCTCGGAGTGCCCATATTATTAACCTGTAATCCTACCGGTTACTTTTGTGGTTGACATATAACGACGAACCCAAGCACGCTTTCAGCCCAATAAGCATACTTCTTTGCTTGTAGTGGTAGACTTATCAACTTATAAGCATACTAGCGGCTTTTGCTGTCAGGTTTCCTATTAACTTATCATTATATAGGCAAATATAAGGCGTATGCCGTTTATGCTTGTGACAACTGACATACTCGAATATTAGGGGGGTCTGGCAGATTTGCTTAATTTGGTTAACCCAATTCTGAATAATTCGCGACCCCTGTGGGAGTCGAACTCACACAGTAGAGAAGGCTTATACGCAGCCAACGCTCTACCATGAGCCGTGAATTTAATCACATGTGGGTCGACTGTTCCCTCCCAACTCACTGTTTGTATGGAATGCACCATTACGGATACAGCAAGCTGACTGCCCAGGTAGGCTTTCCTAAGCAATCATCTAAAATCCACCAGATTGACTACTCGGCTTAATTAATTGTTACCAGGGGTTTGACAGATTTGCTTACTGTATTTGTAATGGTGGATGCGGGTGAATCGACCCAAGTGTGATTAAATGCACGGTGCACGGTGGGCCTCGTATCTTAATGGTAGAGCGTTGGCAGCACAAAAGACTTTCCCTCAGTGTTAGTTCGACTCCCACCGATTACGTGCATTTTTCAGAATTGGGTCAACTGAATATTCGAATGTGTCGCGTTCGGGAAGGGAGTCTGGGAAAAAAGTGATCAGTTGGATTGGTGGATTACCTGTGCCGTAGGCAACGGTTTGCATAAACGTCCGTAAAGCTAAACATAGGGGTGTTTGAACGCGAAGCTTGCTTTCGCGAATAATCTATATCATTAATTACCGTCAGTTTATTCCCTTGAATAATGTGAATAAAATGAGTACTTGCTGTTACCTTTTTTAATTCAAGGTCGTATTCAACCTCAGGTACAGTTACTCAGAAGAAGACAGATGTGTAATTACCAGCGTGTGCAGTTAAAACAAAATTAGCGGAAGTGGAGATTATGCCACAAGATTGATATGCTGGGTACATCTATCGGCTCGAATGTCATCAGTGAGTATCAGTCAGTATGTCTGAAGTGAATGACAAGAGCCCTTAAAATCTCCATTGAAACGGCACAGATGTGTATAAAAAGTAGTTAGGTTTCACAAAATATTTACACGTCATATTAGTATAAAAATGTATAAAGTAATAAGGTAATTGAATGCTTAAAAAGGGGAGACATTTGTAAGATAATAGCGTACGACACTGTCACTATATTTGCACCACTCACCTGACTCAATATTAATGAAAGTGAAGGATCTATTGAAATCGAAGGAGTAGTATCGCTTTAATCTGTTTGATATGTTTGCAGTCATATCTGGAATAGGTTAGGTACGGTTTTGACAGCTCTTTTGACTGTTAACAGGTGATTATGCAGGCGTCCATTAAACACGCTCACGTTGGCAAAAGAGTAACCTGTGGAATGAGCCTTTAAGATAAAAAGGAAGAAAATTGGTTTTGTACGTACTCACAGTTTCAAATTGTTGTTTTCCCAAGATACCTTGTCGTGAGAGGTAATTTGTCGGCAGCTTGCTGATAATAAAGGCATAACTATACATTTTGGAGACTGAAATTCATGAACTAACTCTTGCTCGACGAGTGCAGCATCTGGGAGTCTCTTCCTTCTTGTATCACTCTCCACAGTTTGAAATCATCTGCAAATAGCACAATGTCAGATTTCACTTTTCGCAGCATGTCTTTTAGCTAGTTTGAAAAAGAAGCGGACCAAGCACTGACCCTCGGGGGACTCCATTTATAACATGCACATATTCTGAGCAGTAGCCATCCGCATTAATTGTTTGACTACGGTCGCTCAGAAAAGCTCCAATACACTTTCTCGTAGCCTGCCAGCTTCGCGATCTGTAAACCGACTGCGGGCACAAGAACTGTCACTTGCTTTTCTGAGACAGGGGAGGCAGTTTCCGGTCGCATGCTCTTTATTCTGCCCACTTGGGTTAAACGATGTCGAACGCGCCCAAAATCTACCCTATTTGCTCAGCTGCTGACGGCTCTAGAACATCCTGAATGTGCTCTAAAAGGAGCCAGTTGACAGGCAAGAAGGCTTCACGTGATCGTGGAGAGAGAACGAGTTGGTAGAACTGGTTACGGCGTACGTTCGTCCCGTTATGCTCAGAGGCACAAGGTAGAGTGCCGGTGTAATCAGTCACTTATCACCTTCTAATATTCACAGTATGCAGAACCAGAACAGAAAAGAGAACCGATAATCGCCCCACCTGGCTTGCTAACTAGTTGCGATAACCTGGAACTTGAAGCCCTACTCCTTGGTCTACTGAAAAATAGCCAAACAGTCCGACTCAGCCTCTCCTGTTATCTAAATCTGAACCTAAGTGTAGCTGGCCGACAATGGCCAATAAGCCAGTAATGATCACCCCAGCATCCCACGTCTTTGTCAGATCCTATTTCTGTACATTTAACTTGACTCCGAAGCGGAATCCACTGTTAGTTTTGTGCTTAAATCTTCCAGGCACAATCGGGTCTTCTTCTAGCTTTCAGTGGCATAATACTCCCATACAAACCACAAGAACAGAGAAAAACACGTATTCATGATAAACCATCACGATGTTCACCCCGGTAAGTTGGTCACGCTCGCTGAGGACCTCGCCCGAAGCACCCAACGTTGCATTAACTTTCAAAGTCCCGTCCGACGGCTGCAGAACGATAGGTGCCCGAAGAGCTGTCGCCTGTAGGACACATTGACTGCTGCCGGCAATGGACGGCATCCTGTTCAGATGTGGGTTGCCAACGGTCTTCCCGACCTCATTGGTGTTAATAACTGTGGGGACTTTCTCATCAATCACACGGATTCCGTTAACGCTCATTGGCAGTTTGAAATCGTACCAAGCCACCTATGGTAGAACAAACAAGAACATAAGTTTCTTAAGCAAGGCAGCACATATCTGTGCAATTTGATTCGATTTTTACATCAGAATTAAAGAAAAAAACATACATAGAAATGGACATCAAAATTTATAATCTACTCCCAGTGTCCTTCTCATTGAAGTAATTCTTCGCATACGGAAACCATATGTAACTAAAAGTGTCTACTTGTGTTTTAAACAATAGCCGGTATATTGCATTTAATATTTCAGGCCCAATAGCCGTGATGAAAATGCGCAAGTCCAAAGGGCCCTACGTAATGATGTGCTCTATTGGCTCTG